ACTAAGATTCCCGCTCCTTGCAAGTGAAGTGGACTATTACAGGGACTTAGATAATCAAAAAGCGAATTCAAAAACCACAACAATCTCAATTGGAGTTGAAAAAATTCAAAATGACATTGCGCAAGACCCCCAAGATGATATCAACCAAAATGAAGCTCAGCCATTGAGGCGCATACAAACTCTCTTTGAGCAACTTGAGGAGCAAAGAAACGCACAGAATCAAGAGTTTTTACAAAATCCTGAACGTGATCCTAGGCGCCAAAATGCAATTGCACAACGACAATTTGCGCAAAATTTGCAAGATGAAGAATCCTCTTCCTCCTCTGAAAGTTCAGATGAACTCAACCTCCATGATGATGATACATCCTTCAGTCTTGCAGCTCATGCCCTTGCAGCCATGAATCTACCCAACTCCTATCGAGAAGCGCAAAATACAGGTGAATGGGAATGTTGGAGAAAAAGCATGGATGAAGAACTTGAAAAAATGTCAAAGTACAAGGTCTGGGAAGTTGTGGACTTGGATCCAACAATGCGCATTTTAAAGGGAAGATGGGTGTACACTCACAAGATAGACGGAGAAACTGGACTCCCATCGACCTACAAAGCTCGCTTTGTCGCAAAAGGTTACAATCAAGTGGAAGCATTGGACTACAATGAACTCTTTGCTGCTGTTGCGCACAAAGATTCAATTCGAGTGTTTCTGGCAATTGTCAACCACTTTGATCTTGAATGTGATCAAGTTGATATCAAAGCGGCATTCCTGAATGGGGAATTAGAAGAAACAATCTACATGCAACCACCAGAAGGATCCAACATTCCAGCAAACAAAGTACTCTGGTTGCGCAAGTCGCTTTATGGTCTAAAACAATCACCAAGATGTTTCAACAAAGCACTTGACAAGTGGTTACAATTTCAAGGATTACTTCCTACAAAAGCGGATCCTTGTTTCTATTCAAAGCGTGAAGGAGATAACATCCTCATGCTCTCGGTACATGTTGACGATCAACTCATTGCATGTAACAATCAAACTATGTTGGACAACTTCAAAGCGGCCCTTAATTCAGAATTTGAGTGTTCAGACTCTGGTCCAGTTGAATACTTTCTTGGTTTCAACATTCATCGTGATAGAACAAATCACAAACTGTTTATGTCTCAAGAACATTACTTTGAATCACTTCTTGAACGATTTGACTTGAAAGATTGCAATCCTGCAAAAACTCCTCTACCTTCTGGATTTCGTCCAATCCCTGCAACCGATCAAGAACATGATGAAGCAAAACACTACCCATATGCCCAAGCAGTGGGGGCTATTCTTTATGCTTCAACCATAACTCGACCTGATCTTGCTTTTCCAGCAAGTCTGTTATCTAGATTCCTTAGTAAATGGAATGACTCACATTGGAAAGCGGTCAAACACCTACTTCGTTATATCCGTGGTACTTCTGATCTTTGTCTCACCTTCAACAAAGAGAATAGCAATCGCATTGCTTTAGGTTATGCAGATGCAGATTGGGGAGGAGATTTGGACACTAGAAGATCAACCACTGGATATGTCTTTAAAGTTTATGGTGGAGTTGTTGCTTGGAAAAGTAGGAGACAACCTACAGTTGCGCTTTCAACAACAGAAGCTGAGTATATGGCAGCATCAGATGCTACACGCCAAGCTGTATGGTTAAGACAACTTCTGGATGATTTGGGACTTGGACTTGGTCAAGAACCTTTGAAACTCCTCAATGATAATGCGGGAACTATAGCTCTTGCCAAGAATCCGGTTCATCACAACAAGACAAAACATATTGACCTGCGACATCATTACATTCGGGAGAAAGTTGAGGACAACACTGTCTCTCTGTCACATATTCCCTCAGCGGAGAATATAGCTGACCTGTTAACCAAGGCTCTTCCTTCAGATACATTTGATAGACTGAGGGAGTTATTAGGGGTATGTGGCAGATCCGCTTGAGTGGGGGTGTCGGAAATAGAGCAATCGGTAACTGCCACATTGGAGCGCTATCGCTATTTCCGCGTATTCCCTCGTCTCATACTAACCTCTGTCAATATTGTACTCTTCATGCATTCTACTTTCTACATCTGACAAAATTGACGTGAACCCGAGTACACGTAACTCAGGACATCTGAGACCAACTACGGCAAAGTACAATGGGAGGATAAGGTACACGGGGGGCCTGGAGCATAAGGACAACAAAGTATGGCAAAGTTAGACGGAGTTAGGCTGAGTAGGAAGAATAGGAGCAGAAGTACGGCGAAGTCAGACAAAGCTAGGCTAGGTAGGGACAATGGGAGCAGAAGTACGGCGAAGTTAGACGGAGTTAGGCTAGGTAGGGACAATGGAAGCAGAAGTGCGGCGATGTTAGGCGG